TGATTCCAACATGAAGTTATCAGTGCTAGGAATGTGTTTGCTCTATCTAGTCTCTAGTATGTGGGAGAATATTTTGAACACCTAGGATTCACTTCTAACCATTTACCAACTATTAAGGAATATTAGTGTTCTGGAGTATTTTAGGATTAGAAATACAACATTACCAAATTTTAGGGCCAGGGATGATCTCTGAGAGCATCCTAGCCCACTCTGTCATACATTTAACTAAGAACTTTTTTTTACCAACACAGCTGGGGTCCCTGACCTGCCTTCTGTGTCTTTGTACAAACCCCAAAGAAGCCCTTTGATGAGAAATATAGAGAAAGAATAAAGTGTTTCGCTTTCTCAGCAGAAACTGGCTCTGAAGAAAATAAGCTTTGTATGCAGCATGGAAATGAAAGATAAATTGAAGTCCTAAAGTAAGATCTTCATATCACATACCATCACATACCACTGAATTTCAGCTTTGGCTAGTTGTATAATTTTAATCTATCTTCACACTAGCAAAGGCAGCTAGTGCAAGAAAATCATAGATGATTTCATAGAAAATATGTATAGTAGAAAAATAGTACTTAATCCTACATTTATAGAATGATTCCCTTTTCCAGTACCGAAAGCACTATGATTTTTGAGCAATGTTAGTGAACCTAGTCCTGGGTATGAACTTCAAGAGACACCAAAGGAATTTGCTTGACTAAGGGCTTATTCACAATTCTGCTTGTCTGTTGGAAGGGGACTTTGGCCATTTTCTCTAGGGACAGTATTTCTGGGTAAACTCTAACAGGGTTTTCTTGTGAACAGAGATGCTTAACAGAATAAAAAAGGATCTATGTATTTACATCGGCAGAAGAGATATATTTATCACTGAAGATATGTGTTCTCGTTTGTGGGATTTCTTATTGCATTTGATACAGTAAATGACATTGATGTCTTTCAATCTTAGCAATATTGGGACACAGTTTTTCTCACTAACTGTATTATCTCCCAATCTGGACTAAACACAGATTTGATACTATTTAGGCAGGGAAACCTTTTAGGGTAGAAAACTCTTGGGGTACAAGAAATAGGTTTTTTTGTTCCTTTGTTGGTGGCTTGCTCTGATGGACTTGTTCTGATGCGCTTCCGATTTAGCCTATTTTTCCCAGTAGTGCTGAGGGCGTTTCTTTCAGGGAATTATCAGTGGCTGGGAAATGATCAGCTCAGGCTGTAGGAAGCCACCATGAAATATGTCATAGAATCATGACAGGGTAGGGCTGAGAAGCTGAGATCCTGAAATTAGGTACCACTCTCATTTTACATACGAGAGCGCAAGAGAGTTTTCAAGACACTGAAAGCTCAGTATGAACTTCAAGACCCATGCACTACATCACGGCTGCCTTCGGACTTAAGAGAAACAACTTCTAGATGGAAGTCAGATGCCAAAAGGCCACCTAGGCTTTTCCCAAGCTGTCTTCTCAGCTTTAACCTCAAGCAGAATTCATTTCCCCGCCAGTCCTAAATGCATCTCTCCCACAGGCCAGCGCGAAGTGCACTCTGCGTTACTAGAATGTGGAAGATAGCTCCTGTCTACTGTTCGAAGGCCAGGCCTGCCTTCTTTAGTTTACCCAGCGCCCAACATAAGGGAGCCCTCATAAAGGCTTTTTGATGAGAGCAGGGATCGCCTTAGTCAATGCGGTCAGGGCCCTCCCTTAGAGAGGAAAACTAACCGCTGTTGCTAAGCAATATTTGAAGGAATGGGCTGGTTTCTCACACTGAGTAACCTCCATTTACGTACTTCATCGTGCTGTGTCTTTTATGGTTGCCTGAAGATGGCTTGGTGTTTTGGTGGCATGGCCATGCCCTTAAGCAAAAGGCTCAGAGAAAAATTTGTTGTAGGCCAGAGAAGGGCAGTGAGAATTATGTTAACTACTTACTGGAGCACCCTGATCCCTTGGTAAGCCATGCCAAGAAGGTTGTTTATTCTTGACCTTGTGGCCCAACAGCCTGCTCCTACACTGGGTCTCATTAATAATGTATCCCATCGGGGCCCTCTAGTAGGGAGAGGGATGAAGATAGAGTCTTTCATCTCCTAGCATTTTGCGATTCAACTTCCACCTGCTCCTGTCTTCTGAGCTGAGGCAGATATGCAAGCCCAATGTAGTACAGACCCCATCCCCTCTCCAGGCAGTTAACTATCGTGGTTAACCAGCATGCCATATAATGCCTGACTCTTTCTACTAGAATGGAAGTTGCTTAAAATATGAAAAGTGTCATTTTTTTTCTTTTTCTTCTCCACTGCCATATTGCCTGGCACATTTAGGTGTTCAATAAATATTGTCAAATACAGTATACTATAAATGATATTATCGAGCTAGTGCAAACCTGATTGGCTCCAAATGATTCTTAAGTACGTCAAAGAGATCAGAATAACCAAAAGAAAGATGGTGGTTTAATTATATCATTTGACTAGGTCTAGTGCCCTGATCTAATTATGAGAGAAATCATCTGTCTTGCAGATTTTTTATATGATATTTTTTACAGTGGTCCAGGGAAAGTTTCTACTTTGCTAAGATTCAGCAGAATCAGTCAGAATACAAAAAAGAAAAAAGAAAGAAAAAAGTAACCTATCCCTTCCAGCTTCTAAATCTTTAGGGTAACTGCCTATCCTGGAGAACTGAAAATAAGCAGTTCTGTTGTAAAAAATAACTCGAACTGTGCCTGTGGTTCACAATCACCCTCATGGACATTCAAAAATAAAACACACTAGCCAAGTCACTTGATTCAGAAGTTACTGCTACTAACATGCTGTGTCCGGGAAAACACGCATATACACAGGATCATCCAGAAAGAGGGCACCGTGCCTCTTGGAGGACAGTGAGCCAGTGGACAGCAACACCAGCTTGCCTTGGCTTCCCCTCAAAAAGTCAGGTCTCCTGGGTGCTGGCAATTGCAAGACGGTTTGGTTGCTTGAAATGAAATATTTCATTGTGGGTGCAGGATGCTCAACTGAGCGGGGAAAGCCTCAGAGAGAAGAGAGCCCGTGAGTGTGGAGCTGTTGCCATGGTGCCTTGCTATTCCTTTAACATGCTGTACTTGAACTCCTGGGGGTACAGGGACAGGGTATTAGAGGAGGGAGAAAGAAGGATATGAACTGGTAATGGATAGGGAGGGAGCCCCACTTGAGTAGCGCTCTAGGTCTTTCCTCTTTGTGCTCTGAGGCTGAGAGAGAGAGAAATGAATTCATCAACATGCCCTAGATTGTCAAAATCAAAATGTAACTCATAAGGATTTCCACCGTGATTCAGAAGATGCAACCGGAAAACAAACACACACACACACACACACACACACACACACACACACACACACACCTCCAAATAAATTCATCATTCATTCAACAAATGATACCTTTTATTTCCTAACACAGTCTATATCTAGATCCTAGGTTAAATGTGTTTGATGCATTCATGAAATGCAATCTAATGTGCATATTAATGAGCTGATGGAGCACCGCAAATTGCTTTCTACAATTTTTAAATGGCATACGTTAATTTTATTCCTATTTCTTTCATTGTGAAGAAGGCTAAGTGGGTCTGTCTGTTTATAACCCGTCCCCCCTCCCCCACCCCCAACCACCCCCAGAAAAGGCTAGGGGACTGAAAGTATTCACAGTTCACACTCTCTTCAGTGTGTAAAAAATGATCCGAAAGTCAACAAGTCGAATGCGTCCTCACTTTGAAACAGTCGGGGTGGGGAGCTTTGTGCAGAAGCTGCTTCTGCCAAGCTCTTGTCTCGGCAGTGGGGAGAGGGTTAAGGAACACCTTGTTGAAAGGGGGGAGGATACCTACTTCGGATTTACTTAAATATTCATGGGGCTTCCTCCATTTTAATCTTCTCCTTTTTGAAAGATGGCTGTGTTTCCCAGCCTGGCCATCCCTCAGAAAAGAAGACTTGCTCTTTTCTTGCAGAGTTCAGCCACACAGGGCTAATAGAAAGTGGAAACCCCCTTGGTCACTGGGACTATCCATAATTCATAAGGGCTTCAAACCAGCCAGCTGAATACATTTGGACGGGCTTGTGCAGTCTTCCTGCGATCCCTGATTCCATTACTCTCTTCTGCCAGGGAATAAGCAAGGAGCAAAGACTTCCGGCAAGAAAGAGATTCCGAAGATGGGCTTTGTTTGGATTAGGAAATGCCTTCAATTTGGGAGGCTTTATCTTTTTTAAGTTTTGGTGATTTGACCACTGGATCTGCAGGGGTTTTGTGGTCCTTTGGAGCTTGCTTGAGCTGTGAATTCTTTCAGAGGGATTTGTGGATTCTGGCAACCAGCTTTCCAAAATGCCTGAGGCAAACTATTTGTTATCTGTATCTTGGGGTTACATCAAGGTGGGTTAATTTGATTCTGTTATGTGTCTTTGGTGGAATATGAAATATTTCCATCTGTGTGTTTTCTGTGGAGGGGGACCCATCTGTCATGGCTTAATTTGTGTTGTCTACTTAGCCCACTGAGACTGCCTATTGTGGAAGAAGGGCATGTGATCTTACACTGCATTTAAGTAGTCTGTGCGGAATTGTGTCTGTTAATGCTATTGTGTCTATTCAACTCTCCTTCTACAGAATGCTATTTTGGGTCTTTGTTTCTCCTTAAACTTTTTGCATATCACCTCCCTTTATTGGGTAAACTCTAATTCTATTTAGAGCTAATTTTCAATAACTACTTTTTAAATAGTTATATGTTCAAGTAAAATGATCTCGGCCTATTGAAAGTTCTGTTTCTAGATAGTTGCATCTCTCAAAGAAATCAAATGTGCATTCTAAGAAATCTTTTTCAAAAGATCCTTTTCCTAAAATGACAGTGAATTCATTTTGAATAAGAACATATTTCATAGAAACTCAGTCACCCGTCTGATGATATCTATTCACCCAGTTTCTTGGCCTTTAGACAGTAAAGTTGAAGACATTTAAAGCGATAATATGCTATGCTTTAGATGGTTAATGCATTTTTATTTTTCATGCACAGTTTAAAAGAATGCTGAACCGGGAGCTGACACACCTGTCAGAGATGAGCCGATCAGGGAACCAGGTGTCTGAATACATTTCAAATACGTTCTTAGGTAAGATATTGACTGGGAAATGTGTACCATTACTAAGATGTTTTAATATTGTTCTCTGCAACACATCAGGGTCATCCCCAAGTAATTTTAAAATAGGGTTAAGTCACATAAAAACAAATGAATTCCTTTCATAAGAAGTAGATGCAAAATAAGTAAATGCAGCCTTTAAAGGGAACTCTCTCTATATTTATATATGTAAATATACCTATATACTTTTATTTACATATATATATGTAAAAGCAAGAAGGCAATTTTTTTAAAGGGGAAAGAAAATGATGAATGAAAGTACCCAGCAAAGACAGAGCTTATACATGAATGAGCTGACCGTACCTACGTGGGCCTCAGGTCACCCCTATTTACCCTCCTAATTCCACCTTGGCACTTACACCTCCGATGGCTCCTAGGAGGGATGCTGCAATCACCCACACAGTGGGAGCAGCTCCAAGGGGCTCCCCGAACAGTATTATTCAAATGCCCAATAAGTGGGCTTCAAGCAAAAGGTTTCCTCTTAGGTGGATTATAAGGCATTTCGGTGGGGAATAAATCACCTTCGAGTGGTTGGACCCAGAAGAGGAAGCTTTGGAAATAATTTGACTGTCGCTTTGCTAAGTTATTTCTTAAAGACAAATGGGAAAGGAGGGGGAAGAGCAGAAGCTTCCATGCCTCTGAAACATGATGCCCTCCGCAAGCCGCATGGTTATCTAGCTGATGTGAGCCTTTATCTCCGCTTCTCTGTGGCCGCATTGCTGGCTCTGAGCACAGGATGCTGACAAGAAATGGCTTCGACTGTGACCGTGCATCGCATTTGATGGCTCTGGAGTTCTCATCTCATGCTTCACTCTGTTGGTCTCTTCAACCTGTGGGCACGATCGTTTGATTTAATAAGGCCTGCGGACTCTGCAAGTCGCTATATCAGAGTGAATGGTTAGCACTCAAATTCTGATTCTGTTGGCTTTCAACTGTGGTGAAATTGTACTTAATTTAAAAGCCCCACTTTCCAGGGAAATGACCCATTCACAGCTGAACACAATGCCCCCCCCCCTTCTTTTTGGGCAGGGCCACATGTCATTAAATCGATGAGCATTCCCTTACCCTGATGAGCTTGATTTGCCTTGATGTTCTATGGAAGCACGCACCTCTTCTGGTTTTAGTTTTTTAAAAATCAATCTTGTTTCTCTAAGGCCAAAGCAGTTCCTGCTGTCAGTTGATCAATCGGCTTCCTCTTTGTACAGCCCAGTGCAAAGCCTGTGGCACGGCCTGCAGCCGATTGGCACAGACACAATTAACAAGTGCTTCTCCAACTGTTTCCAGCACGTGAGTGTCTGCGGCATGTGGGTTGCTCCAGCTGCAGTTGCGACAACCATGTGTCGGAGAACAAAAGGAAGGAATTTTTCATACAGCCTAGCTCCACGAAGTGGCTAGAATGTAATTGAACAGAACACATTGCACACGTCCTTTTTGTCTTCCTTTGTACCCCTTTCTCCCTTTCAAGACACTCATTACTGATAGGCCCTGTTCTCTACAATGCCCTCTCTTATTTTATATCACCCGGAGGCTGTTTTAGGGACGTGTTATATATATATCAACGGTTATGAGAAAGAAGAATAGCGTCAACACACAGCGTAGCCACTCTTTGTTTTTGTAAAACACTTTTAAATGTCAGAACCTGCCTTCCTTCTCAAACGAGGCCCTCGCTGCTGGACTAAAAGCCGCCGGCAGTGCCTGCCTCTGCAGCCATCAGGCCCCTGCTGGCCCTGAGCACGCCTCTCCTTTCGCGGTTTCTCGCTGTCTGTTCACCAAGGACGACAAGAGTCTCTTGGTATACTAAGTAATCTCTGGCTTCTTGGAGTCGTCAGAGCTCTCAAATCAGAAAAGTGTGATAAGATAATAAAGATCAGTTTCCGTCTCAAAACCCTGTGTATCGCAAGTGCGAGCGTCACCTCTTCCTAGCATGTTGCATTTGCTACCGGGTGACATATCTTGAGGGGAGGGGAGAAGGGATCAAGGACAAGTTGTTGAGGAAGGGTGCTGGAATCTCAAGCCTTACAGACTGTCAGCAGTAGGAGAGTGCTGCGTGTGCTTGTGTGTAGACCTGAGCAGAATGCTGAGTGCCCCTGGGAGGGGGCACTGAGAAAGGGGAAGCCTGTAAACAAGAGATGCAGCTGTTGCTTCACCTGTGAAACAGGACCATTGGAACCGATGGCTTCCCAGATGCCTTCCTGGGTTCACATTGTATGGCTCTGCTAGGCACTGACTGTTCGGAAGTTTGGCTAGAACATACTTGGCAACCTGATTCTCTGTGATGGACCATGAATTTATCATGACATTTTAAAAGCCAAGTGCATGTTTCTAAACAAGTAGACCATGGACCCATGAATTTATCATATGACACATTTAAAGCCATGTGCATGTTTTCAAACTAGATGCAAGGCCTTTGTTGTGAGCAAAGGTGAATGCCCCTGAAGGAGCCTAACAACTCCGGAGACTGCCAGGTCTGGAAGGGACATGAAGTGGCCCCACGCCCTACTGTCCTCATTTTGCTTGGAGAGAAAACAAAGGCCCAGAGGGGTGAAGTAACTTCACCAGGGTCACTCCGCTCACCCACTCCTGAGCTGGGGCTTTAGTCTCTTGAGTGCCAGACCTACATGCGTCTTCGGTCCTTGATCTATGAAAGAAGTCTGTTAGGAAGTCAGGGGGCAGCTGAAAGAAAAGCCCATTTTAAGGACTTTGAAGTAAAATGTATGCTATTTTCAAGAAATGTCTCTAAGAATTAGGATGACAGGCCCTCAGGTGAAAATACATGTATTAGTAGTGTCCAGTAATCAGAGGGTTCTTGTTCGAGTGGGTGAACCCTCTCCGTGGAAGACCCTAGGGATTGGCACTAACCCCGAAGAGCAATATTTCACTGAGCGTCCATCATGGCGCGTCAAACTGTGTCATCAACAGGGAGGCAAATCGCTTGCTCCAAGGATCTGTAAAACTTGTGGGTGTTCCTGTCTAAAGGGGTGCTGTCCAGATGGACTGGCAAAATGGCCAACAAGAGATCATTTGCCTCACAGGAGTCCATGGCAGGTATATATGATCGTGGGCTGTAAGGAGCTGGTGCAAGAGGAAAAAGAGGTATCCACCCTCAGTGGATGGGAGGCAGGACCCAGGGGGAGGGAGTTTAGCAAAAGTACGCTTTTGAAGTGTCAGATGACAATTTGGTTCATGTCTGCCTTGTAACATTTTCTTGTGGTCTGGGTGAATGTTTACAGAGCAAATTTGTTTCCCCTTCAACAATTTATGCACATTTTGCTTTGTGACATCAGCCACCATCCCTTGGATGTAACCCCTTCTTCCCACTTCCTGTCTGGGCTCCTCATTTCCATTTGCCCTTCTTTCCTGTCTTCTGGACTTCTGCGCTTGGGCAGTTCCTGCCCTTCTCGTCTCCCAGAGCTGATGTTCTAGGAACACGTTCCTCCTGCTGGCGTTGTTCATGTGTGAGCCTGTGTGGCTAACAGACCATCTCTGGGAGTGTGTGCAGTTCCAGGCTAGAAGGGTGTCTAGCAGCCATAGTCTTAGAGGCATACTTACTATTTTTCTAGACAGAAAGGGGGGAAAATCCTTCTTTCAAAAACCCAGCACTTAGCCTTTGAGAAGTTAGGACTTTCAAGAAGCGGCCCTAGCCTGAGCATCTTCCATCTCTATGTTCTGTGATCTAGCAAGCAAGACACCCAGATGATTCCATTGGCAGATTTTTGACAGAAGCATTTCCTGTATCTGATGTTTTGTGTGTCTGTTTGTTTTATACTGGACAACGGTCTCCCTGCAGTATTCAGACCAGTTTGTGATTTTAGATTTTTTCTTGTGACTCCTTTAGTCTAGGTTTTGGGCGATTTCCCCACTGGGCTGGCTCAGCTTTTCACAGAGGAAATCTGGGGAGACCACTCGGTAGTTTCATTGCCTGCGGAGGGGAACACCCATTCATGCCAAATTGGCACTCTCTGTGGAAAATGGCCTTCTTTGTTGGAATGTTCCAGGCAGAGCCACGGTTCAGCTCAGTTCCTCACAGCTGTGGGGAATCTTTAATTAACCAAAGGGGGAACACTGATAGCTCCCTGATGATAGCACGGGACAACCCACCAGCCTCTTGAGCCAGATGTGAAGGATTGCGCTTGGGCATGGATGACAGAAGCTCTGGTGGCCTTTCATTGTAGCAGAACGTAGTCGTGATGAGGATAAAAGTAACATGGATAAAAAGTCATTTCGAAAATAATATAATGTGTGGTCTTGTGAGGCAGGAAAGAGATTTTTCAGAGGAACCACAAGACCTGCGTTCTATGCTATTAAACCCCTCTTTCTGGAACAAAGTAATTGCAAAATAAATATCCCTTGAACAGATTGCCCTTTGAGCTTAGCCAAGTTGCTGACTTCACCTGAAAAAATGAGTGTGGGATTACCATTCGTTCCCAAACCTGGCTGATTATCAGAGTCACTTGGGAAGTTTTGATTTTTTTTTTTTTTAAATACTGATTCAGTAAGACTGGGTGAGGCTCATGAATCTGTTTGTTTGTTTCAAGGACCCTGGGTGCTTCTGATTCTAAAGTAACCTGAAATCACGACATTAATTGAGCTGGACCTATGAGTCTAGGAGCTCATGGGCACCCAGAGGTGGTAGCATGCTAGTGACAGTGGGGTCCCCACGTTTAGCTTGCAGCAAGACAGCAAGCTGTACATGCAGACCGGTGCTATCTCAGTGTACTGGCTTGGTTTCGATGCCGTGCCCAGAGGGACTTGTGAGCAAGCAAAGGTCTCTGGGGAGAACATGTGACTGTACCATTAGCTGCAAGAGCCTGAGAGCAGAGTCTGGATCCCAGCATGCCATCTGGAAGCATGCCATTTTCAAAAGGAGGCTTGCTCTTTGTGCGAATTGGCCCTGGCACCAATAGCCACTGCCTTGAGCTGATGGCCACTCCCAGCAACCCCATTGGGCAGAGTCGAGCTCCCCCCATCGAGTTTCATGGAAGCAGGCTGCCAAGTCTCTCCCTCTCGCAGCGGCTGCCTCTTGTCCTTTAGCAGCCCAGGGTTTCCCCACTGAGGCCACAGCGAGGCAGAGACCAGTGGGGCACTTTGGAAAGCTACATGAACTCTTTCAGCCACAGGGTGTCATTTAGTGCAATGCGGTGGCTGGTAAACAATTTCGTAATGAGAGCTGCGGTCCCTCACAGGGATCCCTATGGCCTGAAAGCGTTCGTGCGTTTTTCACAAATGCCCAGGGCACCTCACCTGTGATGTGAAACCCACCACGGGAGTGCTGACAGTGTTCCTGGGGCAGGAAGGTACCCTGCTTTTGCTGATCCCACATCATGACACGTTAGAGCAACGTGTCAAAAACAAAGCCCAGGAGGTGGCACATATTTAATAATCATAATTTAATAAATGGAATGCCTGTTGTGTATGAGAAGCATTGCCATTCTTATTGATTAGTAGATTAGTAGATATAAGGCATGAAATTATGCTCTTCCTCTTAACCTCGGTTTATTATAAATCAGGGCTTGAAAGTGATTGTTTGAAGATTATGAGCCACCTAGGATAAGCCAACTAATGTCATTTGGATTTTTCAAATTAAAAAGCAGGTATACATATAGTACGTAAATTGAGTAAATTACAAAACCTGTTTTATTGACTTGTTTATGACCACAGGGGCCTTCCTAATTATACAAATAAATGTTATTCACTTTAATAAAATCTACATATCATTCTTGATGCTGCCCATGGCAAATGCACAAGGATAATTTTCCCATATCCTGAAAGCAGAATAATTGGGCTTGAGTTCTACCTCAGCCACCTCTTGGATACTTAGCTCTGGTGAGCCTCAGTTTGTTTAGCAATCTGATAGGCAATGAATCATCATCTCTCCCCCATGGGATTGTGAAATAATGCCACGAACGTGCCGTGTAAGATACAACATGCGTTAAAGATGCATAGAAGTTGTTTTCCATATTACTGTGCTCTGACTTGCAAGCCTGTGTTGAAATGCACACCTCCTTGCCTATTGCAGACAAGCAGAATGACGTGGAGATCCCATCCCCCACCCAGAAAGACAGAGAGAAAAAGAAAAGGCAGCAGCTCATGACACAAATAAGTGGCGTGAAAAAGCTGATGCACAGTTCAAGCTTGAACAACACGAGCATCTCCCGCTTTGGAGTCAACACAGAAAACGAAGACCACCTGGCCAAGGTGTGTGTGGCCTGAGGGAGGGGCATGCCGCTCTCTGCCACGCAGAGAGAGAGGCGCAGACACTGCCTCTTAGAGAATAATAAGGATGGCTTTTGCCTTATTATTCCATTGTTTATGAGAAGGAAGTTGGTGTGGCCCCTTTGTCCATTGCTGGGGCACCTACCTGAGGCTCTTGTACTCTACCATAGGACCATTTTTGGACCTGAATTGTGTGTCCCTTGCTAATTGACAAATCCTCATTAATAGAGAAGTCTGCTGAAGGGACACTGAGAGAACCCCAAGGGAGGCCAGGAGGTCGGAAATGTATGCCAAGGGTCAGGGGAGCATTCTGGACAAATTAGAGGCTAAAGAAAAAGTGATTAAAAAATGGGCAGTTATAACTCTCAGGTCACTGTCACAGCAGTGAAGGAGAGAATAGAAAGGATTTATACATCTACGGAGAGGCTGTAAAAGACAACTGCATAAATCCTTTCCTCCTTGTGAGATCATGAAATGAGCTTAATGTGAGCAAATGAGCACTTACTGAGGCTGCTGAAAGCTGTCCCTGGAGTAAGGCTGACTAAACTGGTCCGGGGCTCTGAAATGTACCTGGAACTCTTAGGCCAGGCCAGGATTAAGAATGGAATCAATTGCTCCTGGAGTCAGGTAAACTTGAAATAATTCCACAAATAATGTTCTTTCTAGGGTACAGGGCCCCTAAGCTAAGATGTACAGCTGATGTGTTTAGGGCCTTTTGCATTCAAAGGTTTTTCATCTCACCTGATGTACACTTTTATGTACATTCTGGCAGCAGAGCCTCCTTAATCTGGCCCAGGGAGAATCAACGAAGGGCAGAGGAGTTTTCTAGGTTCCTAATGGGCTAGGGACCAGCAAGAAGAGTCAGCAAATGGAACTAGAGTGACTTCTACCCACTGGCAGCTACCCTTGAAAGCACCATTGGTTGAAGGCTGGCATGTGGCAAAAATATATGCCGGCAACTAAAATTTTAAAGAGAAGTACATTGTTCTTTTCTCTGACAAAACATACAGAAATGACTGGCCAGCATGAAAGAAACAATCGCCTTCCTAGGTCATTTCGAGTTCAGGTTCTCTGCCAAGTGGAGAGTCTTAGTCAGCCATGGGTCAGCAAATAAAAGAAGATGTGCTGTCAAAATCATTCTGATCCCAAATTTCCCTAACTTTGATTCCAGGAGCTAGAGGATCTGAACAAATGGGGCCTGAACATCTTTAATGTGGCTGGATACTCACACAATAGACCCCTGACGTGCATTATGTACGCCATCTTCCAGGTGAGTCAACCGGAAGAAACCTTGGTTATCCAATTGGCTGGCTCCTTGTGACTTTTAAAATTCTCGTTTATTTTCTGTTTTGACTCTACTCTGTTGTAGAACACACACTTATGATGTTCTGATCTATTTTCCACACAGGAAAGAGACCTCTTAAAGACATTCAAAATCTCGTCCGACACATTTGTAACCTATATGATGACCTTAGAAGATCATTACCATTCTGACGTGGCATATCACAACAGCCTGCATGCTGCTGATGTAGCCCAGTCAACCCATGTTCTTCTTTCCACGCCAGCATTAGATGTGAGTGGCTATGATCTGCTTCCGTGCCTATCTTCTTTTTGAAAAGGTCATGCCATGTGGAATGCATTCCTAAAGATCATGTAATTGAATGACTGCATACCAGGATGGGGATGAATGTGGTTTGTTATATATACCAAAGGCCCATTGCCATTTGATTCTGATTCACTAGAACCATATAGGACAGATTGAAACTCCTTATAGGATTTCCAAGGCTATACCATTTTAGGGGGAGCAGACTACCACATTATCCCTTGTGAAATGGCTGGTGGGCTCAAATCGGAATATTTTCTAGGAAAAGACATGCAAACACTTGAGGAAGTGAGATCGAGTGAAGGGACTCCAGCCCCCAAAGGAAGGAAATAGCATGATGTTTATGCAAAGCATGTTTATGCTTTGCATAAACATCCCACAGCATGTCAACACGGCCCCTCCATCCTCCGCTGCTGTGCCTCGACCAGGAAGTCTGAGTGCACACAGGGGTGGGGAAGGGAAACAGCCCCGTGAATCCCTGAGTCTTTAGGCTGGTCTTCATGGGAGAGGTGGAACCTGAGATGGCATTCGAAGAATCAGTGAATCGCAGAGAATGAGGAGACACTTTCCTCTGCAGTCTAGGAAATGGCAAAGACCCATGCTTACGTACGCCCTCGTTTTAAATTGCTGGGTCTGGGTGGAGGCAGAGAAGTTTTTAGCAACCTAACACGAAGGAGCTGAGCAGGGTTATTCGTTTTCCCTCGTAGAATTATCCCCAAATATGGCTCATAGTAAGCATGGGGACTATTGATTGACGGATGAATGAATCTATGAAACTTCTGACCACACTATGAATGTCCTTTAGGGAGACAATTTATGACTTCAAATCTGTAATGTGATCATTGTTCTCCAAGTCACTCGTCTTTATGAAAAGTATGAATGCTGTCACGTCTCAGAGCAGAGCCCGTTGGACTTGCTTCTTAGACTTCTAGAAGCATTTCTGTGAGAAACAGACATTACGTGTTTACATAAACCATGGACATAGGGCTAACGTCTTCCCAAGCCTTGTCCTGCAGACTTGATTTGGGAATAAGTGCTGAATATCATTTCTCGCACATCAGAGACCTATGATAATGGACAATGGTGACATTTTAATTACATTGACCTATCCTGGCTTTCCGTAAGTGAACAAATCCTCTTCCACCAAGAATGACCTGGGCTCTTTTCGAATAACAACAGACCCCTGAATCTGATGAGGAGCTGAATGCGTTTATGTTGTTCCTCAGGCCGTCTTCACAGATTTGGAAATCCTGGCCGCCATTTTTGCAGCTGCGATCCACGATGTTGATCATCCTGGTGTCTCCAATCAGTTCCTCATCAACACGAGTGAGTTCACCACTAGAATAGTCATTTGCAATGCCGTATGATTCATTGCTTATTTTTCCCCCTCTCTTAATGTTTTCATTATGGATAATCACAAGAGTAATAATGATGTAATCCTTCCATTCCACACAAAGTGGTCAAACCTTTCCTGGTTACTGTATCCAATCTGGCAACACAAGTTTTGAACTGCATGGAGAAGTTGGAGAGTTTGGAAAATACGATTATGTGAGGAAAGAGTAACAGATGTGGAATTATCCAGACAGGACAGGAAAGATCTGAAGAAAATGGTTTTGGGTAATATGCAAGGGCTCACGCAGGGAGCACAGTGACCCTTTCTGCTGAGAAAGCAGATCAGAAATTGGTTCTGAAAACAGGAACTTTTAAACAAAAATAAAATTCAAAGAAACCTCTGGAGTAGGTTTCCAAAATTCAGAAGCAAAGCACATGAGAGCCCTACACAACTCTCTTCAAACTGGGAAACTTTGATTATGGATTGTTTATAGCAGGGAGGGTGGCTTCAGTGACAGTCAGGATTGGGATCCCAACTTAGGACGCTAGACTACTTGTGTCAAGTTCAAAATGTCTGGTTTCCATGCTAATGCAAATTCATTCATTATGCCCCTTCATGCACTATCTCTAAGTGATGACAATCTACGTACTTTTTGTCCCCCTGAAAAATGTGTTATTCCCTTGTGGTTGTGATTAAAATCAATTGCTGATGGTTTTATAGAAATCATATTTGAGCTACTTCATGTTATAAAAGAATGCATGTCATGTTTTATTATCAGAACATCTTAGCAATCTAGATTTTTAGTGCAACTGTTTTATTTTGTTTTGCACGTTCTTCTACTGAAAGAACACAAACTTTGAGCAACTCGTTTCTTATAGGAGCTCTATCAGCTGATGTCAGGGTGCTGCCATGAATCCGATTACATACAGGCCAGGTCATATATCTGGTACAGCCACCTGCAACACTGCACTGTGGAAAGCTGCCGTGCAGAGCTGAGCCCTGGACTACAGGGTGAACAGGGCAAGGGTGCCCGTGTGCCTCTATTGCCCTCCACCCTTTCTGAGGGTGGACTGCAAAGCACGTGGTCGACAATAAGGTCCATTAGTGACAACATCTGCTTTGAGTAACATGTTACCAGCCCTAGTCTATTATCCTTGCTAAAGACAAACTGTGGCTTTATGAACTTGATGTTCATATTCTCAAGGACAGAGGAAAGTTCCAACAAAATAAGTCTGCCATGTTTCTGTGCAAAAAGCAAAGGAGAGGGTTTAGTTTATGTACCCAGCTAGTATGTCTCCAGGAAGATAGAGCCACTTTGAACCTGAACTCAGGGAAAGCTTTGAGGAACCTAAGGGTCCTAAGGTCGGGCCAATTATGAATGCATTCTATAAGCCAATCCATAAAAGAACAGAAACTTTGGCATCAAGATAACCCCAAATGTGATAACTATTCAGTCAACATTTTTATAGGAAGCTTCAGAAAGTTACACAATTGGAAGAAAGTGCAGTTTTACATCAACACCATTATTTTCTTTGAAAGTTCCCTAAATTCCAATAATTGAGGTTGATGAGCATATTTTTTAAAGTGAATATCATTTTAAAATCTTAATCAATTTGATAATGTCTTTTTGTTCTTTTCAAAATCACAAAGTGTAGAAAGGCATAAAGGAAATTATAGAGTTGGATAAAAATAGAAGTTAACTGCTGGGAAATTGCTTCACCTAATGTCAGATGCTTCATCTGAAATGACGATGGAGAGAAAAGAACTTTAAGATAGAGTGAGTTCTAATTCAAGAGCAGCCATGACTCTCTCCTAGAGGGCCCTTTTGTTTAGAAGATAGCTACTTCCCTGGGTGGAGGGAGACTGCTAAGCAGAAATGGGCTATGGATCACTGTTCTTGAAATCATTTGGAAGGAACGAGAGCCAACTGAGGTAATGCCAGCATGAGAACCTTACCCCTTTTTACTTAAGCCATCATCCCTTCCTGTTCATCAGATTCGGAACTTGCGTTGATGTACAACGATGAATCTGTCTTGGAAAACCATCACCTTGCTGTGGGTTTCAAACTGCTGCAAGAGGAGCACTGTGACATCTTTCAGAACCTGACCAAGAAGCAGCGTCAGACATTAAGGAAAATGGTGATCGACATGGTAAGAGCCCAGCTTCTCACTGTTCCTCACTCAACGTTATCCGGCAAGGGAGGGGAAGCCCCATTCTGTCTGATAGACTGAGCTGATTAAGAGTTCTTGTTTCCTGTGTGCCCAAGGTCTTAGCCACCGATATGTCCAAGCACATGAGCCTGTTGGCAGACTTGAAGACAATGGTAGAAACAAAGAAAGTCACAAGTTCAGGCGTTCTCCTCCTGGATAACTATACTGACCGGATACAGGTATTTGACACAAGCCTTCGGTTTTACAGGGTCACACCAAACCAGACAACAATTATAGAAGAGAATAAACCAGGCATTTTAGTTGCGTGACCTAGGTTATAGCCACGGGCTTATTTTAAGAACAAACTAAAGTTTGGTACTTATTTTAAGAACAAACTAAAGATAAGGGACATTCGAATTTATTCTGTAACTTATGAAGAAAAACCTACCCTATTCCTAGAATTATTCCATTCTAAAAATAGATGGCAAAAAGTATTTGTAAGAGGGCCTACGTGACTGTTGGTCACAAAGCTCATGTGTGAACATACATCCCCTTGGTTTGACGTTCGCTCGGCCTGTTTTGGTTGTACAAATTGCTATCAGCTGGCCTCTTCTTTCCACCAGTGGAAAATCTGCACACATCCACTTTGAGTAATTCTTTGCATTCTTTCCAAACCGAGGGAAAGAAACGATAGCAGCACTGACTTTTGATGTCCCTTCCAGTTTTTAAATTCAGCGACTAATGGGCTAAGAAAACACACGTGTTCCTCTTTGGGACCTGTAGTGGTAAATGGCACACTCTAGCCAGCCCCGTTGTCACACTGCATCTCTGCTGTACTCACCATAATTATAGTGCAACTAAAATGTTCCTGGGTTTGGTACCAAGTGTACTAGGACAAGAGGGATGAAATGTTCTGGTAGTATTTGCACCTCATTTTATGGGATTTTAAAATTTTGGTAATTTCAGGTCCTTCGCAACATGGTACACTGTGCAGATCTGAGCAACCCCACCAAGTCCCTGGAATTGTATCGACAATGGACAGACCGCATCATGGAGGAGTTTTTCCAGCAGGGAGACAAAGAGCGAGAGAGGGGGATGGAGATAAGCCCAATGTGTGATAAGCACACCGCTTCTGTGGAAAAATCCCAGGTATCTAATGTGAGGTTTTCATATTGTGTGAGCTATGTATGCTTCTTGGAATTGATTTGATCGCAATGGATTTTTGGAAGGGAGATAGGTTTATGCTGTTTGAAGAATGGGCGTTTTAGATATTATATACATAATTAAAATAGGTATAACTTTATCTTACAAGGAATTAATTACAAGGAAGAAACTACCCATGGAGTTCAAATATATTCATGATTAATTCGTCTTTCCCATTCCCTCCATTTCTCAGGGCAGGGTAAAACAGCATTCAGAAACACATCACATTTGGGATTATGTATTCCCCCCAAAGTTTAGCCAGTTGCCTGTGATCTTAGAAATCCCACTCATCCGACTGAAGGCTGCCACTTCCTCCATCCTTTTCCAAGTCTGTTTTCCAATAGCAATTCGGCTCCTCCCCCTTACATTCGAATTGTGGGGCTGGAGAAGAATCTTGAAAGAACCGTGGACTGCTAAAAAAAGGCAAACCGATCTTTACTCGAAGAAGCAAGACCAGAGTGCTTCTTAGAGGCAAGGAGAGCAGACTTCGCCGTACATCCTTGAGGCATATTGTCAGGAGAGACCTGTCCCTGGAGCAGGACATCGTATTTGGCAAAGTCTAGGGGTGGCGAAAAAGAAAGAGACCCTCAACCAGGTGGATTGACACAGAGGCTGCGACACCGGGTTCAGGCCCAGGAGAGTGGTGAGGACGGCGGCGCAGGAGCAGGCAGCGTTCCCTTCTGTTGTGCAGAGGTTGCTATGGGTCAGAGCCCACTCACCCTTCATTCCAGGAGCTGTTCTTTGGCCCATTGCTGTATAGTGAAGCAGGCCATCGCCACCACCAGAAATTGTACAGCTTAAGCTCTTCACGATGTCCCTGTCTATGCCTGCTTCTACCCCTCTGAAACCAGGTTGGCATTCTTCAGTGATTTGGCAGCTCTAATCCCCTTTATACTGAGCCCTGGGGCTGATCCGTTGAAGGCAGGGGGAGCAGATGCCAATAAGTGCAGCATTTTCAGCTCCAGAATAGATCAGCCTCTTCACCAAGGCTTCACAGTCAGCTGGATTCTCACACGGTTGTTAGAACAGCCAACACCCTGAGCCAGATGAGTGTGGTTGAGAATGGATCAATATCCTGCACAAAGTCTTTGTCACAAAGAATTGGGGAGTCTCTTTCATTGGCATTTATTTTCTTCCCCCACTACCAGGAAATCCCACTCTTAAACATCAGTGTTTGGTTCCTTTACGATTAGTACTTTGTTGCTCTTTTGAGACTCAATTAAATCAGGTTAAAGCCCGTGGTGGTGCTCTGACATCTAAGCTATAGAAATGCATAATAGCATAAAGGTCATCAAGGTCAATTCAAGCACCCCAAAGCTATGAGGGGGACAAACTATAAATAAATGAAGGGGCAACACCTTTATTCATCATTTATTAGTAAGCCGTGAAATATAAAACTAAAACCAAGCCCGCTGCCATGCAGGCGATGGTGGCTTATCGATATTTAGATGCTCTGTGGGGTTTCCCCCTCGTCGCCACACATTATCTTCTTCGGACCTCAAAGCAGCTTCCCAAGCTCGATAATGTACATAGCGCTCCTCTGGCCCGTTAGATCAAGAAGCTGTTCTCTTTCCCCTTTACCCGCTCCTCCGTGACCCCACGGCCCTCCTCTCACGCACTGGGCATGGGTTCCTTGCTGCCGTGCCGGGCTGCTCACTCCATTATCTCTTACAGAACAGCTTTGTGGAACAATCTCGGATTAGCCTCTTCTGAGCCCTCGACTAGGTACTTTTCGATTTAGAGGTAGACCTCGTGCAACCTAGAAAAATCAGCAAGTGGGGCCCACCTCGCAAATAAGTGCCAAGTGTTTCTTAACGGACGCAAAACAAGCCAAGAAGGGCAACGGCCTCCCCATGTCCCTTTCATCCCGTTTTCTCCCTGCGCTGGAGTGTGTTGTCTCAGGCCGCTAGAAAACGCCTTTGAAATCACCTCGGAAAGCCATGCAACATGAATAAATTAGTCGAAGGGAGATAAAAGGAGTGTGTGTGAGCAAGAGAGAAATCGAGGGACCGCCCACAGCTACGCTCCTGTACCCAGCACAGCTCACAGATGGGTGCCCCGACTTTGATGGGAAATGTGTTCACTGAGGCTAGGGGCACCAGAGAGAAGATAGAGAGATATTTAGTCATAGGTGGCAAGGTTGGATTGTTATTCCTTTAATGGGCTACAGCGTGGATGGATTAAATAGCCGGCGAAGAACAGCGTGCTAGAAAGTCCTGGGAGCGAGTAAATTGCTATTGCCCCCCTCCTTTCTCTCTGAATCTCTCTGGCTCCTCCAACCAGGACAGGGGAATTCCATGCCCTCATTCAACTGGCTCCTATTCTTTCTCTCTACCTGGCCTGGCCCCCCGCGTTTCCTGTTTGTCAGACAATGTGGAGGTCAGCAGAGGGCCACAAGCGAGCTCCTGCAGGATGCAAAGCTCATGTCTAAAGTGTAACAAAGCTGCACGCCTCTCATTTATTCACGGGAACAGCAGCAAACGGAACTGCTTAATTGTTTTTATTTTTCCCTTCTTTCTCCTGATGGGAATGACTGTGTGCGTGCGCTCTGGACCCAAAACAATGGGAGCCATGCCCGCAGAGGGAATCTTTGTTTGTTTAAGGGTTTCCAGTGTGTTTCGGTGTTTGGTCAAGCGCTGACTACAAGCCACAGGCGTCACCGGGAGCTTGAGAGATGCGAGCCGTCAGGGCCTGACTGCCCTCATTCACTTTGGAGCAGAAGCGATGGAAAAGATTGCAGGGAAAGAATGTTGTGTTAGAACATGTCAGGCCTGGGGCTTCCTTCGAAGGCTGACTCACTGACAGAGTCCTTCGCAGCCAGAGTTACTTCGTACCTGGTGCCCGGAAACGGGAAACGCGTTCGTTGCAGGGAGAGGAATCCAGGCTTTTGAGTCCGATTTGATCCACGCTTCACTGTTTACTAGCTGGGTCGCCTGGAACAAGCTATTTGGGAGACCCGAGTCTTGCTCTCCTTCTTTGGAAAGGATAGATGGTTGTTGTTAGTGCCGATGAGTCCGAGCCCCGGGACCACCGACCGAAACACTGCGCGCTCAGCGCCATCCTCTCCATACTGCTGTTTGAGCCCATTGCGGCAGCCACTGTGTCCGTCCATCTCATTGAAGGGCTTTCTCGTTGTCTGCGGACCCTCCATATGGCCTGAGATGGTGGCTTTCTTTCGGGACCAGTCCCTCTTGGGAACATGTCCAAAGGAGGTGAAAAGAAGTCATGCCACCTTAGTTTTTAAGGAACATCCCCAAGAGAGAGTTATTGGTGGTGGAGAACGATACTTATTTTTCAGGATGAAGAGAGCTCATGCATGCATTGTGTCCAGTGCAGGGCCCACGACATAGCAGATGCTCGAGTGAAGGAATCAGTTCCTAATGATCGCTGAGTATTCTTATTACTCTCTCTTTGCAAGAAATCAGGAGAGGATTCGGTTCCCACGGTCATCCCAATCACAGATGTACTACCTTCTTGTTTTTCAGGTCGGCTTCATTGACTACATCGTCCACCCACTGTGGGAGACCTGGGCAGACCTGGTGCAGCCTGATGCCCAGGACATCCTGGATACATTAGAAGATAATAGGAACTGGTATCAGAGCATGATACCCCAGAGTCCCTCCCCACCGCTGGACGAGCAGAACAGAGACTGTCAGGGTCTGATGGAAAAGTTTCAGTTTGAACTGACCCTCGAAGAAGAGGACTCTGAAGGGCACGAAAAGGAGGGAGAGGGCCGCCACTATTTCAGTAGCACAAAGACGCTTTGTGTGATCAATCCGGAAAATAGGGATTCGCTGGGGGAGACTGAAGTGGACATTGCAACAGAAGACAAGTCTCCGGTTGACACATAATCTCCCTGTGTGTGTGTGCGGGGATGAACATTCCACCTTTAACAAACATGCCAGCTGTATGGTAGGGTCAGCCCACCGTGCGGGCCATGACCGGCGCTGGACAAGGGCCACCAGGCCTTTCCAGTTACTTGAGTTCGGAGTCAGTGAAAGGCTCTGACGTAATTAGCAGCTCAGGATATTCCATGGTTGACTTGCCTTGTTTGCAAGCTCGGTGGAGACCTGGCGCTGTATGTGGTACTGGGTGTCAGTTCTGGTCGAGATTGAATGGCTTGAAGGTGGAAGGCACACAACTGAGAGATGTCTCTGCACTAAGCAAGGGGAATCTGTCCCCTCCAGTGACTGAACTGACTGATAACATCATTTATAAATCTGCTCACCTGCCCCTTTGTCTGCCAACCTGTGTGCCTTTTTTGTAAAACATTTTCATGTCTCTAAAATGCCTGTTGAATGCCTAGGGTTCAGTACCCCCTCCTCTAGAGAATAAGCATCTCAACGTTGACAAAAGCGCTTTTGATTCTTTTTTGGGGGGGAGGGGGTGAAGAAGACAGCCTTCCTTCTTTCTCAGGCAATGTCTCTCACTTTACTACAGTTCCTTTTACAAGTAACATCTAACCACTTCTTACCGCTTTCTACTTCCTTTCCCTGTTGTCCAATCCAGCTCCACAGCTGCCCAGGCCCCTGATCTCTGCCTGCCTGCTGGGACATTATTGTTCCCCCTCTGGAGTTAAACACTATTTTTGCTGTCGAGAGAACAAAATTGAACAAGCTGGGGGGGTAAGGAAGGATAGTTGTGTCATTCACAATAGCAGTGTGTAAAACTCCGCTTAGCCGTCAGTGTCCACCGGGTTGTGTCTTCAGCCCTCCTGGCCTCTGGACACGCTGCACGCGCCCCTGTCCTGGTCTTTTCCACTTCTCTCCACCACGTAGCCAGTTACACCATTTCTAAGGAATGCTGCCGTCTTTTTCCTTGCACTGCCGTCTGCTCAAACGCCTCCATTCCTGTTTATAACAGTGTATTTATTACTTAATGTATATAATGTAATGTTTTCTAAGTTATTAATTTATATATATCCTAACATTGCCTGTCGATGGTGGTGTTACATTTGTGTAAAGAAAACTCTGCGTAAGAGTTGTAACTTTTTTCTTGTGTAACATTTTGTATTGTGTATGATATAACCTGAACATCACTAATGGAAGACATACCGGCCCCTTACCAGTGAGGACATTGGGGAGCTTTGATTCAAAGACTCTGCCCTTCTGTCTGTCTGAGTTATTAATCCTGTGCAACCCCCTTGGGACACGGCTTTGGAAACAGGATTCACACAACATTAGATGCTAAATGGTTTGTACTAAGCTTGTACTTTTGTATCGTTTGATAGGGATGGGGACAGTGGGATGTGGTTTCCGATCACGTTCATCCAAATCTGTAGACACATGAGCTGCGTTATCACAGGGTTTACTGTAATTGTGGTTTCAGCTTAGAAAGAACACTACATTGGCTCAAAGATGGTTCCCTCAGAGGGTTCACAAACTACTGAGTTTGAAGCGAAAGCCTCCCGTCTCACCCGTCAGCAGGAGCGACATGCTCCCATTAATTACAAAAGAAAAGAATCAAACAATGTGAATTTTTTTTCAGTAAAATGTGAACTGATGTAGTAAATTATGCAAATGTGAAGCTTCTTCTGATAACACTTGTTAGGCCTCTTACTGGTGTCAGTCTGTTTGTAAAATATGGTTCATGCTTTCGGTCCGGCATTGTGACTCACTGGTTACAGAAAACGGCACAAACGTGCATGACCAATGAGTGGGCTTGTATGTCTACTGAGCACTGTGTCGTTTCGGGTGGACATTGCATTGTCTCCAAGAGTTTCTCACGATGTATGTTATAGTATTATTATATATTGTGCTCCAATGCATTCTTAAGAGACTTTTATATGAGGTGAATAAACAAAAGCATGATCAGCATAGACTTTGGGCTCCGTTATTGCATAGTTAATTCGGACGTATTAAAAGCTGATATATATGTGTAGCTAAAGAATCCTCTTTTCTCTTACCGTGTCTCCAGGAGAATGCTAACCGTGTTGCCAGGCCAGCGTCACAACTGAAATTTCAGAATCGGTGTCTTGACCGTCCGCTAGCTTGAAATGTTGTACTCTTTGTTCAGCCTGCTGCATGGAGCAGGAAGGGAGGTGGGAAAGGCAAGCGAAGCTACAGTGTTCGGCTCCCACCACTTCCTTCCACCTCTTTAAGAAATGGAAGCACTTCATGTTCTACATAAACAAAGGGAATCCCCAACTTGGCTGCTTCCTCCAGAAAAGCGAATCATAGACTCAGAGGACACCCTTGCAACTGATGTAAGTCAGACGGCCTCCTCGATTCTTTCCACACAGGAAGAATCGGAGGTTCCAAGGGTCATCTCAAAGCATAGCCCACAGACTGTGGTGGACATATGATCTTCAAAGTAGTCCCTGGATCTCCTAATGAGTACAAGGTTATACTTTTCTTTCTAAAAAAGGGTGTTTGGTTTGGTTTTGTCTTTAAGCTAAATGAACTACCTAATTGCCTCATTGAAATCTTAAAGCCGACAACGGTCAATGATTTATCCTGGGGAATATGTGTTTGTATGCCATGGGGATGGTTGTAAAAAAGAAACGGTGTATGGTCCACAATAACATAACCCCAAAGAAGAGATCTACGAGCCAGTAAGAAGGTCTACTCTGGAAGACACCCACACACACACCCACACACACACTGAATTAGCAGAAATTATTCTGTCTGTTTATAAAGGCTAACCTGGAGATGCAGAAGCATTCAGAACCAGCTGGACTGCTGCTTGCAGAGATCATGTTTATGCCCTTGACACCACCCCTGCTTTCTCATCTCAGCTCTTGTGCACCCAGGGACAGAAAGTGAATTGGTTGAAGTAGTCATCACTGTACATTTTATGATGTCTCAAGCTGTAAGCATTTAGTGATATTTGAAGAGAAGTGCTTCTTAACCTTGGGTGCAGTTGAGAATCACTGGAAAATAAGTTAGTTTTGTGGGTGTGCTGTAGGCAGAAATGATGCCTCAGATAATGCCTGTGGCCCAGTGGCTGCCATGTATATCTTTTAAATGTATTTCTCCATTTCTCTTTACAGAAAATAATAATAACAACAACAAAACCCCTATGAAAGGATTTCCATTCTTTCCTCCTTAAGGTGAGGAGGAGACTGGGTCCTGAAGAGGTGAAATCATTTGTGGAGGAAGTAGAGAAGGGATCTGAAATTCCTTCCAGGTTTCTAATATGATGGGTGTTAAGTAGACAGCCCCCTAGACACAGGGGTGTTCTCGTTGACAACAGAGGTGGGAGCCATGGCTCCAGAGCAAACACCATGCCGATAGCTATGGCTTCAGGCCACCACCCCACCCCAGTGTGACCAGGTACTCGCCGTCCATTGCCCACACCCTGGCTCAAACATGAAGAAGAGCATGAATCAGAGATAAATGAGAACTTCTCTACTCCAGAAGCTTCCAATCTGCTGGTTTTGCTTATCACTTGTCTTCTGAGAAAAACCACAATGAAGCTAAGTCTGAGAAAGACGTAATCATCTGGTTCTAGGGAATAGGCTGCAAGTCAAATGATCGTCCCTCACGCAGAGCAATGACCCTGATGGCAGAAAGTTACTGCAAAAAGATGAATTATTAGAGTACTTAATTCAAAGCTAAGGATGATACCTTGGTACAAAAAACAAAACAAAAAATATATAGGAGCCTAACATTGATTCATAGATTCAGGAGCTGCCAAAGTTGGAAGAAAATTTAGGGTGCACTTCATCTAGCTGTTCGACACACATACACACAATGGCATTCACCTGATACATTCCTACAGAGTTGTTATTCTCAGCCCACTCAAAGAAGCCTAACAGAATCAAAGTGAAAGAAAATGGTTTATTGCATGATTCTGAAACTCTACTTACTAAATATACTTGGTTAGGCAAGCCATCTATGCTCTGTGCTTTGGGAGAATGGATTATTTTCATAATTCTATTACTACGTTTCTGGCCCCCATGGATTAGATAATGGTAAAGTCAATGTTGGTATGGGCCTTAAACTTGTGATACAAATTGGGAACTCCGTTTGCAAACTCGGTCTTTGGTGTATCCTATACAATTCTCTAACTGATTCTCCTACTGATCCCAAGAGCTCACTTTCATCGGCGCTCGCTTTCACTTATTTCCAGTTTTTCATGAAGGACTCTTTCTCTGAGCTCTAAAAGCATCCTATGCTCTGCCATGAACGAGCTGGATGACTGGGAGCTAGTCATTTGACTTCTTTATATTTTAGTTTAGCCCTTTCTAAGTTGTGGGGAATTAGAATAACATCTAATTTATAGTGAGCTACGAAAGGATTAAAATAATACCCCTAAAATTGTTTTTCAAACTGTAATAATTATTAACCCACTATTAAGCTGTGGTGAGGTTTCTGTTTGTTCTGAACGACTGTAACGTCAAAGCAGTCAGAGGATGGAAGTCATTTCCTATTGAACTTCCAGGGCCTATTGCGAGATCCAGAACAAACACGCATCGGCGGAACCCAGCTGTCCCTTACGAGGGTCAATGCTGCCTCAAACCAATGTTAGCCTTACGCCCCAAATATACTGCTCTCTGAATTCCAAAACGATAAACTCGTATTCTAGAACAAAGGTTTCTCAGAGATCAACATATCCAACTGTTTCTGTTTCCCCCTCGGTCCCCCTCACTGCCATTGAGTCCATCACAGGAACCCTGTGGGACAGGGTCGGACAGCCCCTGGGGGACAGGGTCGGACAGCCCCTGTGGATTTTGGGATCTGGAGTTCTTTTCGGGAATAGAAACCTTGTTTTGCTCCTGTGGAGCGGTAGGGGGTTCAAACTGCTGGTTCGAGGTTATTATAACTTGTGAACAGTGTGCCAGGAGGGCTCCACTCAACGAAAGAAACATTTAGAATGAAAGAAGTGGAGGCTCAGAGATGCCCTTGATCTTTTGTTTTTTTTGTTTTGTTTTGTTTTTTAAAACATTTTATTAGGGGCTCATACAACTGTTATCGCAATCCATACACACATCAATTGTGTAAAGCGCATTTGTACATCATTCTCAAAACATTTTCTCTCCACCCAAACCCCCACATTAGGTCCTCATTTTTCCCCTCCCTCCCTGATCCCCCCTCCCTCATGAGCCCTTGATAGTTTATAAATTGTTATTTTGTCATATCTTGCCCGTCCGAAGTCTCCCTTCACCCACTTTTCTGTTGCCTGGCCCCCAGGGAGGAGGTCACATATAGTTCCTTGTAATCGGTTCCCTCTTTCCTACCCACTCTCCCTCTACCATCCCCTGTTTCGCCACTCACACCACGGATCCTGTAGGGCTCATCCGCCCTGGATTCCCTGTGTTTCCAGTTCCTATCTGTACCAGCGTACATCCTCTGGTCTAGCCAGACTTGCAAGGTCGAATTTGAGTCAGGGTAGTAGGAGCGGGGAGGAAACATTTAGGAACTAGAGGAAAGTTGTATTTTTCATCGTTGTTACATCGCACCCTGACTGGCTCATCTCCTCCCCGAGACCCCTCTGCAAGGGGATCTCCAGTGGCCTACTAATGGGCTTTGGATCTCCACTCCACACTCCCCCCATCATTCACTATGGTAAGATTTTTTGTTCTGATGATGCCTTATACCTGATCCCTTCGACACCTCGTGGTTGCATAGGCTGGTGTGCTTCTTCCATGTGGGCTTTGTTGCTTCTGAGCTTGATGGCCGCTTGATTACCTTCAAGTCTTTAAGACCCCAGAGGCTATATCTTTTGATAGCCGGGCACCATCAGCTTTCTTCACCACATTTGCTTATTCGCCCACTTTGTCTTCAACAGTTGTGTGGGGAAGGTGAGCATCATATAATGCCAATTAATAGAAGAAAGTATTCTTGTGTTGAGGGAGTACTTGAGTGGAGGCCCAATGTCCTTCTGCTACCTTACTACTAAACCTATAAATACAGGCTCCTAGATCTAGGAGCCCTTGATCTTTTGGAAAAATGGCAGTGACAAGAGTACGAGGTTCCTCCTGTAACTTTTGGGCTGCTATGTGACAAGGTCAACTCTGTGGAAGAAAGATGAGGCTTCTGCCCCTGTCGAGTTGGGCAGCCTCAGACAGTGAACCGGACAGGTCTCTCCTGCCGGGTAGGACTGCTGTGAGTTGAAATCCACTCAACAGCGGTGGGTTTGGGAATTCCAAGAGACCAATCCACCTTCTCTGCAGCTCACGCCCATGAGCCAGTGGAATGGACTGTATGTTCCAGCAGGCCATTTCTACTTCTTACAGAGAATAGCCCACACCATGAAAATTCTGCTTTATTTGGTTTTTTTCCCCCCTGAGTTCTTGAACTATATGAATGAGGTTCTTGTCGCGGCTAGGCAACGTGAAGGGATGCAGGAGAAGAAGCAAGAAGTTCACCTAGTGGAACCAGCAGAATGTTGGCGTGAGAAGCTGACACGCTGAAGATGGACAGGTTTATTTTCCCAAGGAAAATTCCGGCTCTTCTCTGCAGCCATCTGATCCTGGACCAATGACTACCTCTTCAGGCCACAGTTCCCTCCTCCGGCAAACAAGAAAATTCGAGTAACTGTTTCATGGGGTTTCATTGAGGCTAATGCAATAACGTATCTAAAGTGCAGACATGTCAGTCATTGTAACGCAGATGTCTCCAAAGGCGTTCTTCCGATCACTAATATTTATAGAGAGCCACTTAGATGCGTGTGAGCAACAAGCGGTGCAAATCTAGGTCCAAATGACGTTTATATTCTTGTGAGGTGAAAAAGATTTTTCTAAAAAAAGATATAGCATACAATGTCAGGTAGTAGTATGCACTATGAGAAAAATATGAGGAGTCTTCTAAAAGTGAAAAAAAGTAAATGAAAGATAATGGATGTCCTTTTCCCATGAGAGGTTGAAGCCCTCATAA